GGGTCACGACCGCGGCTCTGTGCTCCACACTCACCCCCCCGGGGGGGGGGGGGAGGGGTCGACCACCCAACTTCCCTTCCCGTTCAAACAAAACGCCACCCCAAAGTTAAAGCGCTGGGCATTTCCCGGAGCGCGGCTACAGTCTTCGTGCGTGGGGAGGGGGGGGCTCCCCACCCCCACGGGCCCCACGGCCCCGCAGCCCGGCGCGCAGTGCGGGCTCTCGGGTTTCACTCAGGCTCCTCCCCGCCTTCCGCTCCGGCCTCTGTCCGGCCGGCGGGGCGAGGGGACCGGCAGGCCAGCAGCCCCCCGGGGGCGGGGGGGTCATTCAGCCTCTCAGCGCCCCACTCCCACCAGCAACAACAACACGGCGCACGAAGTTCAGGCGCCACCACGCCCGCAGCTTCACGCCCTCCTGCCTGCCCGCCTCCCCCCCCATCAAGCAAAAACAACAACTCGCTACCGAGCCACGCAAACCGGGGGGGGTGGAGGAGGAAAGAAAAAAAAAACACGATGAACCGCACGCGAGCGCAACCCCACCACCACCCCACGCGAGCTCGAGCAGTTCCTCGAGGGTGGGATAAACTCGAGATTTCCAAGCCCCACGCACCCCCCCACTCCTCCTCCCCGTCCACATGCACACACACACACGGGACCCACGATCACCACACCTCACGGCCCGTCCGGACTCCAACTCTCCCGGCGGTGGCACCGGGAGAGAGCAGCCCGACAGCCCCGGACCCCCGACACGCACACGCAGCCCACTGCAGGTCCCGAGTGGGGAGAGACAGCCCGAGAGAGAGAGCCGGGCCACCCCGCCGGGCGCCCAGCCTGCCTGCCTGCCGGCCGGCCCGGGGCTCACCTACCGCGGCACACCGCCTCTCTCCGTCCCCGGCGCGGACCGGCCCGGCTCGGCTCGTCGTGCGAGGCGCTGGAAAGGGCGAGGAGAAGCAGCAATAAACCACCTTCGGCGAGGACGGAGGGGTAGGGAAAGCGAAGAAATCGAAGCCGAAAAGGCGCTCGTCCACCGCCGCAGCCCAACAGCAGCTCCGCCACAGGAAGCGGACAGAGAGACTCAAAATGGCGGCCGGCGGAGACGGGCTCTTATAACGCCTCCCGGGGCCGCTGTATCCTGCCGCGGAAAGTAGAGCCCTCCATCCGCGCTCCGCCTCCCGGCCCCCCCCCTTGGAAAAAAAAAAAGAGCAACGCCAACCACAACAACACAAGCCGAACAACACAAAACGGGCCCGACCCGCTGTCCTGTCGCGGCTTTAACGTCTGCGCGCTTCGGGTCGTTCGTGTTGTGTTGGGTTTCGCCGTTGTTGTTTTTTGTTCTGTTTCACTGTGCCCTCGCGGCGGGAGGAGGGGGGTGAGGGGTTAGAGAGTGCGCAGGGATACGGGAGGTGCGGTGGCGGCGAGGTACCTATTCATGAGGCTGGAATGCGAGTGGGTGTGGGAGTGGGTGAGGGTGAGTGAGGTGTGGGTCACGGAGGGTTCCCAGCCGAACCGCAGGGCGAGGGGAGACCCGCCTCGGTGTGCACTCCGGGGACCTTTGTCCTCCAGTGACCGAGCAGACCCGACCCACGGGTGCACCCGTGGAAAACAAGAGAACACTTCAGATCTCATTTTGTTTCCAGTTTTTTTTTTTTAAATAAATAAAGCATGGGGGGGTCACGGCGATGCGGTGGTAGGGGGTTGTGTTTTTTTACGGGGTGTCCTTGCCGGCCCCCGGTCCGACCCCCAGCGTGCGTGTCGTGGTCGACAGGAAACCATCAGACGGCACAGGCGCCCCAGGAACAGGGCAGCGGATCGCCAACTACAGCAACAACAAAAAACACCCCAGCTAGCGCAACTTAAAGCCCTTTCATTCGTTTTACGAGACGTAGCAGTGGAAATCCGTGGTTTCATTTATGCGGCTTTCCGTTTGAAGAGCATTGTTTTTAAAAAAACAAGTCAGCTGTGTCACAATGTCACCTCGCACCGAGGTGGAAAGTGTGAAAGCAGCCGAGAGCGACCCGATCAGAGCTGTTTCTTCAGTGTTGCCCGGCAGGACGGGCGATGAGATACTGTCACTGAACCCGCCAGCCCCGACGGTCCTCTAACACAATCGCATGCAGGATACAGTTTTAAAACACAGTGTAACATCATGAGGCGATACAGTGCGCCAGTCAGCTGTGTTGGGGATGGGGAATCACGGCCGTGGGGACGCGCGACACCCGGTCGCCCGTGGGGCAGGGCTGACGTCAGTCTTCTCTTGGTTTCGAACCCGCACACGCTGGTGACGCGTCGGTGACGCAATGGTCTCACAGCGGAATCGATGCCATTCTCGGCGGAAGGGGCACCCACACCGAACGCGAGCGAAGTCTGGAGCCCTGCGGTGGTCTGGAGTCTTATTGGGGGTGTAGTGTCCCCCTGTCCACTCCTCATACCCTGTTCTTATAAGATAGTCTATAGGCTGCTGCCACCTCACCGAATACGCGACTCTCTCATTATTGTGGGTGCGTGTGGTATAACAGGCATCTTCACACCGGCGGCGAGTGACGTCGCTTTGCACAACATACAACCTGTTTTCACCTTTTTCTTTTTTCCCTCCGTCGGCTCCCACACTCACACTGTGGTGCATCGTCATTTTTTTCCGGTAAAGCATTACAAGGTGTTCCTAGAACCCAGGCAGGTGCGAGTCTTGTGAAAACACGCCTTTTTGTTTTGTTTTGTTTTGTTTTGTTGGGGACGGCCCGTGTCTTCGGCTGTGCCGAGTGGGAGCGCAGTCCCTCGCACGGCTGCTGAGAGGAGCGCCTTGGATTGTGTCCGAGTTGCCTCTGGTGTGGGTTGACACTAGGAGACGTCGCTCTGTCCGCCGTGAAGATATGTGTATGACCACGTAGATTGGTTAAATTAATGGAATCATAAATGTTGTTTAAAAAAATGAACAAGCTCACAGTCAACACAAACTGTTAGGGTTTCGTAAAAAAATAATTCTTTTTACTAAATTTACAATAACTCCATAAATATATAGCATTAGTCTGATGTACATAAATTGTATTTATCTTCAGTTGGCAGTGAATTACTGCTTTATATTGTTTTGTTATCCAGTGATTTTACGATTCCGAGTTTGAAAAAGTAAATTTCTTCATGAGTAAAAAAAATACAGTAGCTTTTGTTATTTTCATAACTGTTTTTACTACTCTCCCTAATTTCTGCGATTTAAGCACAGAAGTAAAGCTCTTCGCACAGTCTGCTTGGGGAAGATGTTCAGTTCTTCAGCATGACAGTGGTGACTTGCACAAATCGCTTTGTAATAACAAGAAATGGTGATTATTTTGTCATAATATTTTTCTACCGCTTGTCCTCTGAGGACTGTAGTTATCGTCTTGTGGTGCTGATGTATAAGTTACAACTGTCATTTCTTAAACCTGCATTCTGGTTACATTAATATACAATGGTCTGCATTGCTTCTGAATATATATTTATAGCCCAGTACACAGATTTAAAATACAGTCTCTCTCTGTGCACGTAATCAGAAATGATTATGGTAAGTGGTCTTTTGTTTTCTGCACACAAGAATGTAATCATTTGCTGTCCATGAGCTGCATTTGGAGCATGCACATCGTGTTTGAGCATGCTTGCACAAACAATATTCATAACAAAAAGGTATACGGTTATTGTTAATTATAATTCCTGGTATTCATATAGCCCCTTTAATCCCCAAATTAAAAGATATGGGAGTGGACCCACCACGCAGAGCCCAGCTAATAACGGGCAGCAGGCCCACTCACTACATGGCAGGCTGCGTGCTGCGGTGAGACAGAGCTTCACCAGGTGAAATTAAGAAGGAGCGCCGGGTAGGCCAGATTGGGGAGGCGTGGAGCAGGAGTGTGCAGGGACATGGAGGTCAGCATCCCACCTCTCACGGGCTGTGATGGGATCAGGTAACTGGGACCCCCCCTTCAACGTTTCAGCCATTTTAACTATACTGCGATTAGATAGGAAGACCCCAAAACCCGGGACCTAGGATTCCAGCCGAGCGACGCACTTTGAAGCTTTGCGGGTCCGGCGAGACTCGTGGGATGGCGGAGGTTTCTGGAAACGACAGGGCGTCCCATAAACATGCGCTCCTCCGTGGATGGCACGTCATGAGGCGAGCAGTGGGTCCTCGGCGCTATGCACGCCCCGGATGAGCCCAGGGAGGCAGTGGGTGTCTCCAGAAGAGCAGAATACACAGGAACCACGAGTTCCGAAATCTGTTTTTATTGACAAATTTAAAGCGCAATGTTACAACACGATTTAATGAGCAGAACACCTGGAAGTGTCTGGGTAAGCCTCCAGATATCCACTGCCGTATCTCTCATGGCTAACATTTGTCCTACTTATGTAGTTTCAGAGGGCTTTTTCTAGCGCTTCCAAATCCAGTGTGTTACATGCGGTCATAATTGATTGTTAATTGGAACTTTTTCTTTTATCGTGTTGTTATGGAACTGAAAACAGGACGCACGTGTTGGGTGAAATATCATCTGAAGTGAAGCAATCAGTAGAAACACGTGGACCACACGACACAGGTGACTTGTTGTTTTAAATGTTCTGTGATTTTTCTGTATTCACGTGGACACTTCCCACGTAAACGCATAAACATGTTATTCATCCAACACTTTGTTTATCTGACAAAACAACACTTTGGCGTCTGTAGAGCAAGGGACTCAAATTCAGTCCTTTTCCCACCATGTCTGGTGTCTGGTCCACCTGAGCTCTCAGTAACCTACCTGACAATTATTTAACATCTGTGTAACTGGAAAACCTAAGATGTTCTACAGGTAATTGAACCTGTAATGACTTAAGTAATGAACCGTGAAAAAGGTTAAGAAACAGCCTGTTTCTGTCAAACTAAGAAAATAATTAGGTTAATTGTTTAATTGACTCCTTGGATTGGAATATAGAGTTCCTTCAGGGATGGAGTTTGACACCCCTGATCTGCACTTAGGTTACCAGAGTGCTTTAGGCCTTCAAACGTTAACGACTGGTGGAATTGTTTAAACCTTAAAGCTAAACACTGAACGGAATAGATGATTCAGATCTCAAGTCTGAAATGTCACGTGTATATTATAGTTTAATGTCTTCTCAATTTTTCCTTGAAAGTCCCATTGATAAGAAACTTTACTGTGTGGCAGCACAGAAGCAAACCCCTACAGTAGCTTGCCCTCTGCTCCTATTGGCTATCAGCAGAAGCCTTTAAAGATTTTGAAAAATGACTCTGTTGTATAGGTTTGTGTTTGTGTCTTATACATTCCAGTGAAAAGCCGAAGAATATGAAAAGGGAATCTTTTTTTTTTTAGTGGTGAAACTACCAAGAGCAGATGTAAAATTGTACAATTATTATTATATGTGGAATATTTCCACAACAAGAACGAGCAGCACTCTCTTTGTTCCAGGCTGAAGATCCGCTCTTCCTTGCGTGATGTGGTGCTGCATCGTGCTGCAGTCTGCAGGGGTTGGGAAACTGCAGCTTGACTGTGTGTGTTGCTTCCATCGCATGTGTTCAGGGTGGGTATCTGTAAGGAAGGCAGGTAAATCCATCTGATCAGTGTGTTATCTGAGAGGGTCAGCTGTGACACAGTGCACAGGAATAAAACCTGTATACTGTGAAAGAAGTTCACTGGGCAGAGCTGATCTGAGAGTCAGAGAGTGCGAGTAGTCTGCACTAACAAGCAGTTCATTGTTTACACAACAGTTGATGGACCATTTCATCTTAATTCATGTAATATACTGGAAGTGCTCTGCTGGGCATGGGAAATATGACAGAATCATTCACTTAAGAGTTCCTCTCTGAGGAAAGTGTTATTAGTGTTTGCTATTGTTCCTGTGCAACAAATTGTACGATCTAGTGAAAAGATCAGTAGATCATTTATTTTCTAGAAATGCGCTGGACCTTTTATATACCTCTCTCCTCAAACTCCCGTGGAAAAAAAATCCATGATTTAAAAAAATACAGTTGCAATAATATCAAAATAGTTCCTGAGCCAGATATGCATCATGCTCTTTACCTGTTTATCCGAGTAGATTAACAGAGCAGAAAACAATTTCACCAGGGACACCAGAGTACAAGCGTTGAACGCCTGTTAATGCTTGGAATACTTGGTGAGGAAAAAAATTGGCTTATGCCGCTTGGTTAATGGACAGCCTCTGGCCACAGGACAAGGAGGCTCGAACCCGTTTCAGAGTGGAGTGGACCAGGGGCAGCTGCAGGAGGGAGGCTTGAGAGGAGTGCAGTTTATGTGGGGACTTTCGTAATGATGGTGTGTATATACAGCTGTGTGAGATTGACTTGTCCTTGTTGTCCCTCCCCAATGGCAGTTGATAACGTCCCACAAGTGGCTGATTGAACTGTTGCGAGTCCTGCATCTGAATGATTAGAAACACTAGATGTTCACGGTGCGAGACCTGGACCCAGTGTCTCCAGTTACTGTTGTGAAGCTGATTACAATGTGACGTTGTAATGGCAGGTGGTCAAGACACATCTTTCACTCTAAGCAAGAAAGGCAGATGATGAAAGAAGGAAGTTTAATTGTGGGTTATTGTCTCAACTGTGTGCAGAGCAGGGAACACAGGGACCCAGCAAGGATCATGCGTTGTTGTTGGTCTTGAGTTCTGACCGTTTTTTCAAACCTCGTGCTGCAAGACCTTCTGTGAAAACAGCTCACTGTCTTCAGAAAAATGCATGTCTTTGTCATCATAGAGAAATATATTTGTAAGCTAATGAGTTACAGATGAATTGTACATGCTGCCCCTTTACACAGTAAAATTTAATAAAATCCGAAGCAGCTATATTGTCAAATATGAGAAAAGGGAGCGCAGAATTTATTCTTAGGAACACACATGGTCTTTCAGCATATGCAGGGGGCTGGGCTTCACTGCTGTGTTCCCTATTGCAGGCTCACTGTCAGCAGTTGGTTCAGACTATATGCATGATTTCATATCTGTTTTCCCACAACATTTAACAATATTGTTCCAGTTTCAGTCACAATGTCTGGCTTTAGCCAGCAGGCTTATTTTATATAAAGGTGAATTTTGTTGATCATGATTATGCTAAAATGTTACATTTAGTTTTATATATAAAAGTTTATGCTGATGTACAGTTTATAACAACAGAAATATTTTGTTGAAGAAGCTTAGCTGTTAAAAGCCACTTGAATACACACAGATCCTCTCTGGCTCTGCTGAGAGGCACAGATCTACTGTACACCCCTGTTTTCCTGGTAGGCCTCAGGAAAACGAGGCACAGTGAAAGAAATCTATTGCTCGTGTCAGCCCAGTGCTTGGAGCTCGTGGTAAGTCCTGGGTTGAGGAACCGCAGTTTTCTGGCCTCAGCTATATACTCTTGGACAAGCTTAGTAGGCCCTGGTTGACATTCTTAAGTAACAAGACACAAGTCTCTAAAACCACAATGATATTTTTTTTTTCTGTCTGCCAGAGTAAATCAGATCAAATGGTGCCGTGGAAACTCTCGTAGTTTTATTCATCTGTAGAGATTATTCCCAGTTTGTAGCCTGTACGCCACACATCGACACTTTAAAGAGGACCCATCGAATGGACCGGGAAAGTCTGACACTTCATACAGGACACAAACACTATTCATTCTGGAATCGTTCTTTTGTCTAGGCCCCTGCACACATCAGCTGTAATGAGCACCTCCAATCCCTTTTTCTTTAATTTGTGCTGAAGAACTGCAAATATAATTAACTCTGAAGAGGAACCTCTTTCCAGGAAACCCATTGCAATAAACATGGTTGAAACATTAGTTTCAAAATATGTATTTGCAGTGCCTTAATGAGCTTTTCATCTGGTGCATTTAAATCATTTTAAGTTGTGTAGCCAATACACACAAGCAGATACATACAGTGTAACCTGTCTGTTTGCAAGTTTTATTTTTTGTCAGGGCTGGGTGAGCATGACAGGTAGATCTATATTCCTACAACATTATTAAACTGATGTTTATGTAAAATTTAAGCTCTCAGAGAACTGGAAGGATATATCCTACTCTCGGGCACTGGAAGCTGGATGTCTCATCTGTTACCTTGTATACTTACCCTACGGAATGTGCATTGCATTTTAAGAACCCCTTTCACTTTTTTTGCAGACATTTGGCAAAATCCTACTGGTACACTTTATGTATTTATTTACTTCTGGGTGAAAATAATGGCCCCAGTGGCAGCTGCTTCTGCTTGTATTGGTCAAGAAGTTATTTTAATATTCTGTACTCTACAGTTTTGATTTGTTCACCCTCTCCAGCTTGCGGTGTTAATCTGTAATACTTTCACAGTCACCACTTTTTATGTTGCTAACATCATATCGCAAGTTTGAGTCTTATCTGGTACCCACCATTCTGCTGATACTTTTTAACAGATGTCTGAAACCGATCATTGTGTTTTCGTGGCTCCTCTTAATGAGATCTTCAAGTCCTGTGGCCTTTATCGAGGATTAAATAATTTTCTTTAAACAGCTGAAGGATGTGCCATTTCATCTGTTAGGTCTTCAAGCCTGGGAAACACGAGGCCTTTAAACAGCACAGAAATTGAGACAACATCCAATTCTAATCAAACCAGCCCAGAAAGACATCGAGCAAATCCAATTTATTTTATTGTTATTCAGCTTCTTTTTTTAAACTCCTGTAGGTGGTTTATGTTTTATTTATATGATTGAATGATCAATATAAAAATTTCCCCCTGAGCATTATTGTGTGCTGGAAAAAAAACAGCATTTATTGCTTTTTTCAAATATAGTATGAGGCTCATAAATTGCTGTTGCTGTATGAGTCTAAGCGTTTATTTTTATTGTAATATACAGGGCACTGTTTTCCATCAAATCTGCATTAAGTTAAACAGGCAATTTAGAAAGCCTCTTATGACTAATTGCACAAAAACTGGGGACAAATAGGATTTGGATGGCCTAATGAGGAATCACTGAGTCTAGTTCCAAGAGATATTCCTTAAATAATCACTTTCCTCGTTTTCTTTTGTGTAAAAGATGACATGTGTATTGCTTTAAGAATACACTGTAAATAAAAAATGTCTTTGCGGATAGTAAGTGTTAATGTTTTTTGTTTCAAGTGAAAGGTGCAACTAAAACGTTTGGTATTTTCTGTGCCTTGATACGGTATACGTGATATGTTTCTTTATAAATAAATATCTGCATGAAAATCATCTGAAATTAACAGAAATACGTGGAAACCTTTGCTCCTTTATTTAAAAGTATGTAAAAACTGCTTTAAAGAAAAATTTAAAAAGGTCATTTTAGATTTCCAAATAAAATGTACACATACTATACTTAAAAGAAACTTCAGAAAAACAGGTTTACCTTTTAATACCAATCTGCCATTTTCTGCTACAATAATTGATTACTACAGTTGGTTAATATAAAAGAAAATGTTTTATTTGATTCTTCAGTGTAGTATTTTGCTTTTTCCCCATATAGGCTAACAAGGCAAAAGACAACAGTTTCTAAAATGCTAGACTCCATCTAATAATATGAATACATAAATTAATCAACAATTTTTGAATTAACTGAATAAATAATGTTCCCCAAATATTTTGTCTTCTTCTATTACATTTTTCTTCTCCTAAAAATTCTAAACCAATATTTTAAGCTTGCAAAAAAAAACAATACATTTTTTTTTATTAAAGACAAAGGCCAAAAATAGGTATTGGATGTTTACAGAATACAAACTATCAGATTCTTCCTAAGGCCTAGGTATCAGATTTCATTAAATTATTCTGACGTTAGGACATCCAGTTTATACTATATATATAAAAATATTTATAGTCATTTATATGTAGGTAATCTATTTAGAACTGTTAGAACTATCCAGTTTAGATCATTTTTAAAAGAAAGTACTGTATGTGCAGCATTCTATGGAAAATACACACTAGAATACATAAATGTCTTTTAAAAAACTGTAACTCAGACTTGTGAAAGTCATTTTGTTTGTGTTTTGCTACATGACTTCAATTCAAACTCAAGTGCAAGCAGTTTTAGAATTGTGCACAGGAAGTTTGCTGTTTGTACCAGACCTGCACTTTGGTGTTCATTTTGTAACCACCCCAAATTCATATGTGAGAGTTTTTATTCTAAGCTACAAGGCACCTTTTTTATTTCCTAACATTGTTTTACAAATTCTGCTCTTCTTGAAATTATACTCCATGCTAGCGAATTGAATCATCCCTTAAAGATGGATCAAGCAACAAAAGCATTTTAAGATGATAATGATGAATAATAACCACTGAAAACTGAATAAAAGCCATTCTGTCACTGTAATACACAATCACTATCATTATTATTGCTATACATAATACTTTAAATGATTGCAGTTTTGAAAGCTGTGATTTACTTTAATACATGGAAAACAAAAACAGCTCACAGGTTGTATATATTTCCATTCACAGCACTTTTTTGTTTCCCTTGATGAATAACACATTTATTTCAATCTGAAGTACGACAAAGTCCAATACAGGAAATTGGTCTTAATTGTTTTCTATACTTTTAATAATAATATAGTTTGGGGAAAAAATAAAACTCATATAGTTCAACACTTGGTAAAATAGGGATGATGCAGAGGGATAATACTTGGATATATTTACCAATATCAAAGAAATTAAAAGCAATATTTTAGTAAAATGTTAGTTCAGACCGTTATTTGGAAAAAACTGCCTTCACTTTAGTAATCACTGGAAAGGTTTCAAGGCAAGGTGTAGCATTAATACAGACAAAAAATAAACTTAATGTTTTTTTTCTGATAATTAAAAATAAGATGTCTAAAAATACGTCTTTCATAAGGACTCTCTTTGTATGTATTAGTTTTAGTTATCACTGCAAACTATACAACACTAATATTGCTAAACGTGGCTTTGTGTTTATATGGATGGGTGTTCTCAAAAACAGAGCATTTAATAAACAATTCCCAAACCATTGACAAATGTTTTTCATAGACACTACACTATTATAAAATAATGATTACAGTTATCATTATATTATTATGTTTTGAATTCTTGGATTCAGACTCGACAAAATGTGTTAAATATATGTAATGATATTTTTTTCAATTATTTTGCATGCCATGTTTGAAAGTTGAATTAATCACATCAAGTCAACAAACTGACAATCTTTAACTGACCTGTGTGATTTGTTTTTTTATATTTGCCAATCAAGTGGTTTTTAAAAGCTTTTATGAATTGAATTTGTGTAGGAAAAGCTTTATAAAAAATAGGCCTGAGATGAAAATGCTATGTAGTTTAGGAGAGACTTGTGTTTTAGTTATGGAAAAATATCACTGTAAAAGCAATTTATAACACTCAATAAAAGTGAAACAAACAATCCATAGTACCTACTGTATGAGAAAATAAAGCAATATGCAAGGAAATTGTCAGCTTGGTTTACCTGTAATTTTCCTGTATGTCTGTTATGTACAGAGCTTCAATGTCAGTATTTTGCCCTTTAACAAAATAACAAGTGGAAGCTAAATTATTCTTCATTAAATTATTCAATATAGATTCCCTCAATTCAGTTGGAAATAACTGACACGTTTACAGATTGCAGCCAAAGTTACCAGGATTTTGGAACAAAACAAATTTCCTGACCCAGATTCTTTTTGAACTGAATTACGACGTTCCCCACTTTGTTACACTGGAATAACAATGCAGGACATGTGTATTGCTCCTATTGTCCACCATTCTGCATGGTGAGGAGCTCAGCCCTGATTTAGCATATGCTGCTGCCCTATAGAACACTTGTCCTCAGCTTGATGTCAGATATATTATATCTGCTGTAATGTAAACCCTGGTGAACCACAATCAAGAGGCGCCATTGCCTGACAAAAGCTCAACAAAGTTTGTGTCATTTTAAAAAGACTCAAAAACAGATAATTATTGATCTTAAAGGAGATTATTATTATTATTATTTATTATTTATTATTTATTATTTATTATTTATTATTATTATTGACTTAGAGAAGTACCCTGACCCATGTCCTGTTTTAGTAAATCAGTTAAAATTCAGCAAACATCTGTCGCTTTCAAATACTTTTTCCAAGAGGAATCTTAAGGACCTGAATTTCAGAAAGATCGGTAAAATGTAACAACTGTCTTCGTTCTGGAATGGCAGAGAGCACCGACGTTTCTTTTTGGTAACAAGCAGAACGAGTCAATAGGTGGTATCTGATCCGCATGGCTTTCAAGAACTATACGTTGCTATTGTCCGATGAACATTCAGGCAGGCCGAACGATGAATTTCCCGGTCAATTCTGCAATAATAAAGGTTTGGGCTGATTTATCACTGCTTGTGGATAGGTGCTCACGCTTTCATTTGGACAGGAAACTGTTGTCTTGCTGCTGTTAGCCCTACATTAGGTATTCGGCAGCTTTATGACCAGGCTTGCAGTCTTGCAGGCTTGCCAGTCTTGCCAAAACACTTGGAATTAGCTGTGTTTTTTTTTTTATTATGTAGCGTTTATTATTCTGACATCAGAAAAGGCTCATTACTATTATGGAATGGGAGCAGTGTAATTAATACTGAAATTGTTTTGCCCAGATTGACTCTCCTCAGTTAAATTAACAGTACTTTGCAAAGATAATCTGGAACACAATAGTCTGGTTAATGTATTGTCCATAATTAAGATCGACTTGACAGTGTTTAGGAGCTACCGCATTGCTAAATTGTATGCCTTTCTTTACTGAACTTAATTTACTTGATACTTGTATTCCCTTTTTTAAAAGATTCCTCTTTATTACCATATGACTGCTGTTTTGTAAATTATCTTTGTCTTGCCTGAGATAAAAAGACACTTTAAACCTCAATGAAATTTCATTACAGTCAGATTGACTCAAGGGATCAAGAAAATAAATGAATAAATCAATGCCGCATTGCTTGAAATCTCAACATTTTAAGCCGCTGAGCAGGATATAATTCTAAAACTTAATTTTGAAAAGATTCATCCAATGATTAATACCACTTTAAATACAATGTTTTGATATAACATAGGAATTTTGCCATTTTTTGTTATATCTTTTTTATATTTAAAGTCAAAGAAGGAAAGAGTATTCATATGGTAACACAGATATAATGTCTCACCTCAAGCCTTATGATTTAACCTGTTGTTCTGACTCATCTGAAAGTGTTTAAATTACTGTATATAAGTGTGTAAACACATATGAAACATACAACTGAAAATGAAGGAAACATTGTGACTTTTTGTCAGAAATATCCAGTAGTATAATGTGATCCTAAAATAACGGTGCACATTTGTGTTAGTCTATTGTACATGAGGTGGTATATTCCCGAATGTGCTTCTAATTTGAAACATTTATATTTCAAAATATTAAAGCAAAAACTAGTGAAGGATAATATCAACAAAAACATTTGGTCATTTTATAAATAATGGTGCCTGTTAATTGTTTTCCTTAAAATGGGGCTCAAATGTATCTTGTCACACAGTGAGTCCTGATATCCATTTAATTTTACAGTATATTGTTATTAAAAACCAAAAGTTGGTTAATTTCTTCTTCCTTAGAGACATCTTTAAATTCTAGACATATTCTAATATCTATCTGATGAGATATGGAACTAGCATTTCCACACTGTATATTTCCAGAAAACATCCACCTCCATAATCGTTTTTAAGTATTTTTGTGACATCCTCTGAATTACAAAAATGAGGCTGACATTAAGTATTGAGTTTTAAAATTTAAAATAATCTTGAATAATACATGTTCATAAAAAAACATATATTAAAAACAAAATCTAGAAGTATTAATTGCATGAATTATATTTTACTGTTGTTTTATGTAAAGAAGACAAAGTTAGGCTACTAATATTTAATCCTTTTATATGGAATGCATTTTAATATGCTTTAACGGCTTAGTGTTTCTGTCTTGGACTGTACGATGGGTAGTATTTACAGTTTTTCGAAGGTCACTTTTGTGTTGTTTCTGTTTGGAGCCTGAAGTTATAAGCACTAGCACCTGAAGAAAATGGTAATATCTGATCACTTTTCGTAATCCTTTCAAGACGTGAAGTGTTTTCTGTTGTCTGTGAAAAGCTGCTTTCTGCTTTAGCTTGTAACCCTCAACAGAAACGACCAATAACCAAAAGGCAAAAGATTTTAAATCTCTTAGATTTAATTTTCTATTGGCCCTTTTATACCACAATGTAATAGGAAGCAATATTAAACAAGAGTACTAAAAAACTGAACTACAAAACAGGTCTAAACAGTCACCATCTAAACAAAAATATTATATGTAAAACAAAATGATCAAGTTTTGTCCCTGAGAACGCCTCCTGTGCTGTAAGAATAGCATTTAGGGTCTTCATGCTGAAGTAGGCTTTAAGACACTTCCCCTACCAACTCATTATCGAAAGGAAAGTTCTCCTGAGACAGGCCATACGTATCTTTTGCGTCGGATTTACAGTATATAACAAGCACTTCAAATACATACATATATGACTGAGAATGGCAAAAATTGCATAATTATCTCATTCCAGAGAGTACGTAGAGTTGCGAGCCACCATTTTGGAGAAAAAAAAATCATCTACATTTTAAATGATTTCAGGCTTCTTCATCTCCGAAAAGGTTAAAGGCGTATTGCTGTCGCAGAAGGGATTAGGTTACTAAGGATTCTGGGACTGCAGATGAAGACTGCGGCAAAATTCTGGGTATCGTCACAATGCATTTTTAGGTTCACACCCTTGAACAGTTTTTTTTTTAATAAAAATGGTTAAATAGTTCGTATGCAATGACAGAATGCCCCCTTTTGTGTTCTATCTCATCTTCTACCGAAAACATTCTTTCTTAAAAAGTACTGAGTGGATTCTTTTTCCCCTTTTTTTTTGCGAAATGCTAATTCATTTTTTTTTTTGGAGGACGCTTACATATCCAGATCACGCAGCGCCATGAAATCGATAATTTTTGATCTCCTGGTTAGTAGGCACCACGGTGAGCTCTTGCGGCAGGAGCAGCCGGCGGACATGTTCTTGTCAAGACGCCGGAATAGGCATCTTCCCCCCCGTTCCCCGGTATTCCCTGAGACCCCCGGCACCGGCAGCACCCCTGGAAACTCCAAGCCAGAGCCGTTCCGGGACGCGGCTGCCCGAAGCACCCCACAAAACCCGGGGACAGAAAAGACGCCTGAAATGCACCCAGATGGACGAGAAGTTTCTGGTGCACTTAAAAAGCAAATAATGCAATGTACAAAGAGTGGCAAGTAAGAATATAATCACATCATGCAGGGTCCACAGTCCCTATTTATCGAAAATGCAAAGAGGGCAGGTTCTTTAGAACATCCCTGCTGTGCAGAGTGAAAAGCATGAACAAATCAAAGACAGAACTCATCTGTGTTTATATTTTTCACACAATGAAAAACCTACTCTTTGTATGCCTCTTTTTTCTCCATCATCGTAGGAAAACTGCCACATCTTCCCTCCCCCAGCCACTCAGGCCTCCTCCCCCCACCCAGAGCTACAGACAGTGCCTCTCTGTGCTTATTCCATTTTATTATTTTCAACAAGTCTGTCTGGGTACATGTGCACACACACTCCAGAAACAAAGCCAGGGGATCCATCTTTGGGGAAATTGCATGCCTGAGTTTTGCCTGGCCTGCCCTTTGTGCTGCTACTGTATTTCTCTTCCCATCACGGGAAAGAAGGGTTCATCTAATACATGCTTCCTTCGCTGTCTGTCACAGGCACCGAGAGGAAGACACACATGGCAGCTAGAGGAAAAAGCACATCAGGACTCTGACCTGAAATATGAGAATAACCTGTCGTGTGCAATTATGCCTAAAATACGGTGTCCAGGTCAATGGCTGCTGCTTCTACCCACACGGAGGTAATCTGTTAATTAATGTGCAAGAACAAGTTCATTGACTGCTGGTTCTCGTTGTTTTGGGCTAATACACCTTGCAATTTTTGGGGGTTTTGGTTGGTTTTTTTTCCCACCCAACAACACAGCTTTCCCACGCCACATCCTCGAGGAGACAGCTCTGTCCCACGACAACAGCAGCTCTCCTCCATTCTGATGATGTGGTGTTTGGAGGGATCATTCGGAAACGCTCAGTGGGCTGCTCCTGTTTGCTCTTGCTCTCTGCACCCTTTGCTCGAGTCGCATGCCTCCTGCTCTCCTTAGCCCACTGCCTTGTTCTCTCTGACTGAAGCACAGTGGTTTCCCTTCAGCACAGCTACTACACTCGCTCACATTACAGAAGGGGGGGAACATTATTATTTCACAATGAACAAAAATGCACAGAAATAATTCACGCAAGATGACAATGCAGGGTATTATTCTTGTTTATAGAATAAAATGCGTGTCTTTAATATTTTTTTTTCAATTTCCCTCACCTACTTTGCCAACACTGTCATGTTCCTGAGCATAATATTCTGCCCAGGCGCACTGCGGTTTTGATTTCAACAGCCACGGTTCTCTCTCTTTCAGCGAGTCAGTTCCAATCGGCGTTTCTTGGGTGCTGAAAACTGTTTGGATCTGCATTTCTTAAGGAGATACTGTATACTGATAAGCTTTTAATGGGATTTGGTCGCTTTTTAAAAAAAAAACTGATCTGCCTAGTTATCTATTAGACTGCTTAGGCAGCTATTGTCTTTTAAAATATGGCGGTTGAACACCTGGTTCTCCTTAATCCTGTGTATGGTTGCCACAACTCTTTTTGAAATTCTTCTGTGTCTTGAAAGTTGAAATGCAACAAAAGACAACTCACCCTCTATAGTAGCAGAATTTAGGGATATTGTGATTTTTTTAACAGTTACATTGTAATATTACAAAACTGAATTTAAAAAGCCTGGGAATACATTTTTCCCCTACTGTTGAGTTTTCAATTGCAAGAGTTTCAAGTTTAAAAGCAAGGGTGTCCTCCTTTTTAGAGAATCAGTATTCTTATAATAGGACACTATTAACAGACCTTTCTCAGCTCAGTGGATTGTGTGCATTACAGTCTGATTATGCCAGTTATGAGACACTGTTAACAGGTAATTAACTCAGGAGGCAGGAGTATTGGAGATAAAAATGCATCAGCTACAATCCATCAGAATAATGAGTTAATTTAATTGCATGCATACACCTGCATACAACCTACTCAAAATCACTTTCCTGTTGGTTTAACTATCCACACCCATGCAGCTTTTTTTTTGCAATTAACTTAAAGCTGCAGGAAGCATAACATTTCTAACACGTGAGAGACACCTTTTTGTGTATATACATTTGCATATATATTACTTCAATGCTCAGTAACTGAAGAAAGTCTACACTGGTAACTAGCATATAACAAATTCTCACTCTTTATTTTAGATTTTGCAACTGGAAGATTAAAACAGAATCACTCAAGTTTAACGTCTTGTCCAGAATGTAATCAAGTTAAACCTAATCTTAATTAGCTAACATTAATTTTTTTTGTCAGGAAAAGTACAAAACTTAGGAGATCAGAATGAGTCTAATGGCACTTTCAGCACAGATATACACGTATTTATTACACAAAAGCTGGCAAATAAAATGCATTTTGCAAAATCTGAAAGACCTCCTTTAATGATCCATGAAAAAGAAATGAGGAACATGACCATCCAAATATCAGCAGTATATTCTTACCTACCTGTGTTTTATGGTCTCACAAAGCATCTCAAATTAGAATTGAAATGCCAAACATGTGTCGTGTCACAATATAGAGATTTTAAACCCTGATTAATGCAGCATGAGACAGAAAAGAATCCTCACCTCTTCAAGGCTGCTGGATGCGTTAGTGTAGTCTGTTTTCTGCGAGTCCAATACCAGAACGTGGAATCATGCCTACACTGGCCGGCCTGCAGAAATGTGCTCTCTTGGACTGGATGCAGGACCAAAGATTGCTTTGGAGACATACCAACGAAAACATTTTAAAAAATAAGTTCAAAACATGGTTCTAGAACAACAAACAGGGAGCAATCTTCCCTGTCTGAGAGCAACATTTATACACATGGCATCTGTGGTGGATGTAATGGTGTGTTCAGTGGCTACTCTCCAGTATTTTAAGGCCGTTTTCTATGCCTTTATTAACAAGCAATCCTCTTGATGTACAGGGCTTTGGGAACGTAACGCTTGTCTCAGCAGGAGCCATTAGACATGGTTTGGTGGCCAACATGAAAAGAGTTCAAGGTCTGAAGATGAAATCTTTGGAAATGAAAAAAAAAAACACAAAAATAACTAACTGTTTAAAATTAACTGGGGGGAAAACAGACAGATGTTTATTATTTCATTATCTAGTATCTATGAAGTCAGGAAAAGAACAGTTTCACATGCAGATGTATTATAGTTCATTTTAAGGAGTTTTGTTTCTCAGCTAGTTAGAATTTTAATCACCATGAAAAGCCTCTTACATTGGATGCAAATAAGTTTCTTAATTCAATGCTGAAATTCACATTTTCCTTTAAACTTTGAAGCATTTTTCTTCATTGCTGGATAATCAATTACTTTATTTTTTATATCCTAAAACGAACATGCTAAAATGCACACCCAAAGTGATCCCCCACTTAAATATGTATAGTTATTCTCTGCCCTTTGAAACCGAGAGGATAAAGGATTTGGGGGTGTTTTTAGATGAATACTGTTTGTGTTGGAGATGATGATGTAAATATACTGCACCACTGCAACAAAGGAGATAATCAGTGAGTCTGACCTTTATTCAATATTTTATCGTAGTTTATTTCTCCTTTATGGATGTTTGCGTATAGCGAAGAATTAAAGTTCCACATGACTGCAAAGGTGAAAGTTAAAACAGAAGTGAATTCTAGTTATGTAATAACATAATCCTGGCATTATTTGAACAGTGGGCCCCTCTCAATGAGTTCAGCAAACATTTTATACTCATCTAAGAAATGAATGTATGCAGAAAAGCTTTTATGTATTTCAAATTGTAATAAGAATATCATGCATATCATTGAAATTGTATTAATTTAACTACTCCTTTGATGTAGTACGTGTCTTACATTCGCACTCTTTCCCTGTGTTTGTTATCTGTGATATGGTGTGCAGTCTGACTGGTCAGTCAGATTTCTTCCATTGACTGGGGTGCTGCTGTAAAGTAATGTGGGTTCTTTTAATATGAAAGATGAAGTATAATTTTAACTTAGTTTATTAAAATTTGTCAATTGCAAATAAACATTTTAATAACACATATAAACAATTAAATGCCTGTCAGGGTGTAGAAATCCTATATCACCCCTGTGATGAAACCATAAATAATGTGGTGTGCAGAGAATTCGTAAGTTTTATTAGTGCCTAGTGCTCTTAACTAATAATAAATCGTGCTGTATAGTGCCCGATATAAAAAGATGGTACTTTGAGAAAATGATGATTTATTCAGAAAACTGACTACATCACATTATGAGCTGACATCCATGAGGAATATTTCTATCTTTGCATTACCCTTTCTTAAGCATTTGTGTAGTGTGGCTCATGATACAGACGCCACATGCTTTCAAGAGACTGTTGTCTTTAGAAATTCAAGGCATGGCTGATCATGGCCAGACACAAATCTGTGTGGTTCTCACTGTCGGTGAAATGGTCTAATTTAATTTCTCCTTCCTACAGTTTTGTGACTTATTTGCACATCACAAAAATGGTTTTATTGTTTTGGATAATTGCTGATCTTAATGTAAATATTAAACAAAGGCGATATTAGGAGTATTTCATCACTACATTGACTGCGTAAGAAAATGGGACTTAGAAGTTGGGCTTCATGTGTAGGTAAACATACATCAATAGCAAACCAAATATCTCAGTCAATCAAAACGCAACTCATTTTTAATGAGCATTACAGCAAATAAAGATTTAGCATTCTCTTTAAAAACAACGGCGTGTCTAAAAATCGCAGATGGAGGGAGATAGACCTGAACCAAGCGATTACAGGCCAATAGATCTTACTCTTATTATATGTAAGGTCTTGGAAATGATAATTGCAGCTAAAGAAGAGGATCGTCCAGACAGAAAGATAGTTCTAGGTGAGAGTCAGCATGGCTTTAGGAAAGGTGAGCCTTTCTTTACTAACTTGTTGGAATTATTTGATGGAGCAGCAACAGTAATAGACATCCATGTACTGTAGCTAACAGTAAGATATAAGTTGAGGTTCAGATGGATTTTGATAAAAGCTCCTTGCGAAAGATCAATTCTCAGTTGTGTTATCGGTAAGTCGCCTGGAGCCTGTCCGAAGTCCACTGGGTTGAGAACAGTCTGCATCCCCAGCCTGCTGTGCCACAGCTGCTGTGACTGCTTGCGCTGAGCAAGACGCAGTCGGGCGGCTCGAGCCCGCAGTGCCAGCCAGGAAGCAGCCTGAACTGGTAGTGCAGGGGAATCCTGGGTTCTCAGGCAAACAGCGTGACCTGCCCAGTCTGTCCAGATCTGCTGGAAGTGGTGGGTAGATACTAGCGATTGATTGTCTGTGGAGGTGCTGTGCATCAGACAAACTCAGACAAGACAAACGAGTTCGAAATACTTGGGAAAGTCTCCTTCTTATCCTCTCTCTGTAGGACCAAGTGACAATCAAGCGCATTAAAATATTTTATTATTTTCATTATGATGTTCTTGCTCTCTTTAATTCACCAGTTTTTTCTGGTCCTTTCAGCTGTATGTTTAATCAGGCATGCAATGTGCACACTTTAGATGTTGTTTTCACCTCAGTGGAAATGCAAACCATCACCTAGAATGATAGTTTGCTAGACTCTTGGACGTGTATGTTAATGAATGCATTCCCCTAAAACTCAAACCAAGCCCAGTACTAACACTAGGTTCCTGTTAGATCTTTACAAAATGATATCTTTTTAAAAGTATAATCCAAGAAGTGCCGAGGGATTCTGTTTTAATTAAGTTACTTTAGAATGATTTGGGTGTTTGTGTATGTAAGTGTGGCATGAAGTGCCTGTTTTTGAAGACTGCTCATATATAACCTCCTGTGAGGCGCAGACTGGGCAGCTAGGCCCAATGTTTGCATAAAACCTGCCAAATGTTCAGTGACAATTAGCCCTTTCAGAGTCATTAAGTAGAGTTATAAAGGGTATTAAAATAGTCTCCAGTTACCAAACGAGAAGATTCATACTGAAAAGTATTAATTTATTTTAATTATTCAAACTTCTTTAAACACAAGCACAAGGCACAAAAAAAAAACAGATCGAAAAACATTTTAATTGGTCGTTTTTTCAGTTTCCCATTTTTAAGACTGAAGTGAAATGCGCTCGTCCTTCTTGTAGCTTTTTATCTCTCTCTGTCTGCAGCCGGGCAGCCCAGCAGGGGGGAATCCAATTACACCACTAATTAAAAAGAAACTTCGGCAAACAGTTAATTGGTTTACTAGCAATGGAAGATGGAGGGATTTTCAGCCAGGGATTTTCTTTCCTAATGTTTTGTGTACTGAAGGTAGTCTAATTTCTCCCACAGCTGCTGTAACACATTCATTTAGACCCGTGGCAATAAGAAAGACACAGCTTCAAAACCATATTTCATATAACAATCAAATTCGGCTTGTGGATTTCTCCCTGGTTTGCCTGCCTCTTGCCAAGAACTACACTTTATGCTCTGCGACGCATTGCTGTGTGTTTATTTTCTTTCCTTCAGTTAAATTCAGGCCAGTGGAAAGCAGGTTGTGTAGAGGGCTCGTGACATTTGGGCCATTTGTGCCCCAGTCTGGGGACAGCTCCCCACTGTTATCTTGCCGACCTCAAAGGGAGCTTGTGCAATCTGACCTCCTGGGGGTCCGGCTGAGAGCCCCCTCCACCCCCACACCCCTCCCCTTCCCCCTCCTTTCTCTGCTGCAGAAGCAAGGCTGTCTAAAGTCAACACTGCTTGTGGGAAAAGGCCAGAAAACCAATAAAACAAAGCTCATCTGCTTTTCTCAGCTGCATCTTGTCAAATAATAAATTGTACCAGCACTGAAGTGAAGCAGGTAGCCTTTTTCAGTGCCTGAAGGTGGTCTCCAGAGCTTCAACTAATTGCATTTTTCATAAGGTTGAATCACAGGCCTAAGTGACTATTTATAAATGTCCTAATTTTTACACTGTCTGATTCAGGAAGATGAAGCCCATCACTTTTGGCTTGATTGCTGCTTTTGAGCAAAGAAGAACTAGTAAAATGTTGCTTCTTTGTTTTAAAAATAATCCAAAAGCATGTGTCCTGTGCATGCAGGCTATATCCCAGATTGTTGTGACCCCTTGCCAGGAACAATTGGTTTTGTGATAAAGGAAGGATATCATATGCAGAGCGTTTGAACATCAGATCTTACTAGTGCATTGTATGATTTTTGCCCATCATCCCTTGATTTAATGTTTATTTTTTAACTATATATTCTAACAGAGATGCAGCACTGTGGCTGCATCTCTGTTAGAATATATAGTTAAAGTGGTGCGGCCTTGCAGTGCATGCTGGAGCCCTTGGTGTATTGTGTGTGTGTGGGTGCGTGCGTATTTTGTGTGCCCTGTGATGAACTGACTTAACATCCAGGATGTTTCCTGCCTTGCGTCCGTTGCTTGCTGGGATAGGCTCCAGTACTGCTTTTCAGGAAGCACCCTCAAGGAGTTTCTCCACACTTTATTTCTAACTAAATCTTTTAGCATTTGTTTTGCCACTTCTACAGTGTGCGGTTTTCCTCCCATGTTGGGTCATCTGAAAACCACCTGTTTCAGAGTGCATTGCGGATCCACAGCCACAATAGGTGATACAGTACATAAGATAAGATCCAATACCTGTTTGTCTGTATCCTGTTGCTTTACAGGATAGATTCCAGCGAACCTGCGACTGGAGTGACCTGAAGCGCCTGCTCGGTCAAAAAATAACTACCAGCACCTTCATGAACTTCATGAACTCTGAATTAGACGAAGCAGTT